GGAAGAGTGATCAGATCTTCAATTTTGTGGAGACCAATGACCACAACCCAGGCCAACGTGGATTTAGTGCGGAAAGACCCTGCCTCTTGCAGCTACTTGATCACTATGACAAAATCACTGAGGCATTAGAAGAAAAAACAGAATGCAGATGTGGTATACACTGACTTCACAAAGGCTTTTGATAAATGTGACCATGTGATAGGCCACAAAATGAGATCAGTAGGAATAACAGGTGAAGTAGGATGATCATATTCAATTTTATGTCAGACTGCAAAGAGTAACAGTTAATCAAATAATATGGCGTCCAAGCATAGTAAAAAGCTGTGTACCTCAGGGAACAGTTCTTCACCACTGCTTTTCCTTATTCTCATTTCAGATATAGACTAAAATACAAGTCACGGCTTCATATCATATTTTTGCAGTTAACACACAAATCAGCATGAAAATTACCAAAAGCTACAAGCAGATATTAATAGCTTTTGACTGGGTAACAGGAGTTAACATTGTTTAACCGTGATAAATTCCAGTGATAAATTCCGTGATAAAATTAAGATACAGTACTTAGGTATGGACAAAATGAGGACCTTAAACAAAATACAGGGTATAAAACACAATCAAATCTGCCCATAGTAGGAAAGCAACAAGTAAAGGCTCTGGGAATAATGATGATTGATGACTTAATTTTTAGGGAGCATAACTAGTAAACAGTGTCGGCCAGAAAAATGATAGGATGGATTACGATAACCTTGAAATCCATGAATCCCATTACAATGGTCGTACTGTTCAAATCACTTGTGCTGTCCCATCTTGAGTATTGTTCTATACTCGCTTCCCACCAGGAGAGATTGCTGAAATAGTGAATACAAAGAACATATACGGCACAGACGGACACGAGAAAGCCCCTAAACTGTAAACTGTTGTGATCACCTCAAAGCTCTTCAAATGTACTCTCCAAAAAGGAGACGAGAGGTATCAAATAATATACCTGTATACCGTACATGGAAAATACTAGAGGGCCGGGTTCCAAATTTACGTAGTAAAATAACATACTGGAGTGAACAATATGGACAGATGTGCAGAAAAGAGCCAATAAAGAACATAGTTTCTGTAGGTATATTCAAAGAACACTGCATAAACATCAGAGGTCAGGGTTTGTTTAACATCCTTTCACTGAGTATGAAGAAATATTGCCAAAGTGGAAGTTGATTTCAAGAGAGAACTGGATAGTTTTCATTTGAAGAAGTGGCAGACCAGCTGGGATGTAGTGGATACATGAGCCTGCAGGCCATTCAGTAACAGCCTGATGGACTAAGCTCTCACAAGTTGAGCCTGGTCCCTGGATGGGCTTGTGGAGTAGAACAACTCCCAGAATTCCATCAAGGTACAAGGATAAGCATGGTTTGAAGAACAGACAAGTGAGCTGGTTAATGCATCTCCCTCGTAAGATTGTGCAAACTAGTTGGCTGGACAACGGAAACAAACCTAATAAACCTTGAGCCGCCATGCAAGACAGTGGTTGATGTGAACCAGGGGCTCGGCACCTCTGGTTACCTGCTCATTTTATGAAATGATTATTTAGTTCTTCCTTTAAGGAGTTGTTGCGGATCTAGTATTCAAATAATTAGGTCCCATTAACCTAACCTATTTGTGTATTTCATTACAGCTCAAAATGTGAAACAATGAGGTTTTATTAGTATTCCATATATATACATGTTGTATTTATATTAATATATATCCCATTTCAGGAGAACATTGTTCTCAAGGTACAGTTAACAAATAAAAAGTTATATATTTATGGTATTTATAAAGATAACTTCAATTATCATCTAGAGGTCAGCATATGCCTACATTTTCGTGTTTACCCTCTTCGTGGAAGAGGTGTTTGCCCTCTTCGTGGAAGAGGTGTTTGCCCTCTTCGTGGAAGAGGTGTTTGCCCTCGTCGTGGAAGAGGTGTTTGCCCTCGTCGTGGAAGAGGTGTTTGCCCTCGTCGTGGAAGAGGTGTTTGCCCTCGTCGTGGAAGAGGTGTTTGCCCTCGTCGTGGAAGAGGTGTTTGCCCTCGTCGTGGAAGAGGTGTTTGCCCTCGTCGTGGAAGAGGTGTTTGCCCTCGTCGTGGAAGAGGTGTTTGCCCTCGTCGGGGAAGAGGTGTTTGCCCTCGTCGGGGAAGAGGTGTTTGCCCTCGTCGGGGAAGAGGTGTTTGCCCTCGTCGGGGAAGAGGTGTTTGCCCTCGTCGGGGAAGAGGTGTTTGCCCTCGTCGGGGAAGAGGTGTTTGCCCTCGTCGGGGAAGAGGTGTTTGCCCTCGTCGGGGAAGAGGTGTTTGCCCTCGTCGGGGAAGAGGTGTTTGCCCTCGTCGGGGAAGAGGTGGTTTGCCCTCGTCGGGGAAGAGGTGTTTGCCCTCGTCGGGGAAGAGGTGTTTGCCCTCGTCGGGGAAGAGGTGTTTGCCCTCGTCGGGGAAGAGGTGTTTGCCCTCGTCGGGGAAGAGGTGTTTGCCCTCGTCGGGGAAGAGGTGTTTGCCCTCGTCGGGGAAGAGGTGTTTGCCCTCGTCGGGGAAGAGGTGTTTGCCCTCGTCGGGGAAGAGGTGTTTGCCCTCGTCGGGGAAGAGGTGTTTGCCCTCGTCGGGGAAGAGGTGTTTGCCCTCGTCGGGGAAGAGGGGTTTGCCCTCGTCGGGGAAGAGGGGTTTGCCCTCGTCGGGGAAGAGGGGTTTGCCCTCGTCGGGGAAGAGGGGTTTGCCCTCGTCGGGGAAGAGGGGTTTGCCCTCGTCGGGGAAGAGGGGTTTGCCCTCGTCGGGGAAGAGGGGTTTGCCCTCGTCGGGGAAGAGGGGTTTGCCCTCGTCGGGGAAGAGGGGTTTGCCCTCGTCGGGGAAGAGGGGTTTGCCCTCTTCCATGCAGCATTATTTGAAGTGCATGACTTAAGAGAAGTCACTTAGGCCATACAGGCATTTGGAAGTTTTCCACCTTTCCTGCTGGTATTTGAATCTATTCCTAGACATTTTATGTCCTCACACAGATAATTATAATTTTGATAACATCTTATTGAGGGTTAATGGTTTAGATTTTCACTGGCAAGACTTTAGATTTCTTATTATAGGTAAAACATCTTCAGTGAAGCCTGTTATCTACTTGGTGTTTCTTTACATTGTTGTTAACTCCTTTTATATTTTAAACTAATTTTTTCAGAACTGATACATTTCACACACCTTCCTTTCTGAAAAGTCATTTCATTTAGTAATGGCCAAATTGCAGACATTGTGGAAGATTCTTAGTTTGGGGTGAAGGAAAATCATTAGAGTGATCTCTATAACTGAACAACAAAATTGCTTATTCTTTGTGCTGATTGTAGGGTTGTGATGAGATAAATTATTGGAATGTCTGTATGCAGATATGGTATGGAATTCTTTGGCAAGAGTGAGGAGGAATTGCAAATGAGTTTGATAATGTGTACAAGAAATAATGTGATGGTCATGTAGGAAAAAGTTTGTTAATGGAATCTTGTGAACTTTGTAGATCTGTTTAGTGGCAAGATGCGCTAATTTGAACTCTAGAATACAAATGGAGGAAGAGGTACTTAGTTTTAAATATTGTATTAGATAAAGTATTAGATAAAATTGGGAGAATGGAAGTATTAGATAAATTGGAAGAATGGATAAGTATTAGATAAAATTGGGAGAATGGAAGGTGAAATAGGAGTAATGAGTAGGAGAAAGATTATAGCATGCAGTATAATGAAGCATGTTAGTACTGTTGTTAAGAACCGAGTATACTCTTTATTTCTGATAAGTATATGAAACTTAGTAATAGTGATCAAAAAGACAAGCTGTGGAAATTAATTTGTAATTAAATTGGTTTTATTTTATAGTTGTCAGAAAAGCAATTACTTTAAGTATGTAGGATACTTACTGCTATACAGGGCATAATGGTGATGAGGAATGAGTGAAAAGGTTGGGGAATGAAATATGGCATGTCTTAATTAACACTATCGCTCGCTTTGGACACTGATCATGTCCACTTTTTTCCTCTAGAAAAAAAAGTCCACTACAAAAATATTTGTATAAAATTCATTTTTTATCCGATCGACCTCAGGATAGTTTCAAAATAAGCTCCTTTCGAGTGTGCACAATTTGATACCAAAATGAAAGATGAAACACTAATCTTTGTCAGAACACTTGAAAGATTATAAATACGTTTTGGTCAAAATTTTAAAATATCTGTTAAAATTCCAGTTATTGCTCTATTATTATGGGACTAGTTTTAAGATATGCTCATTTTTATTGCGAACAATTTGATACCAAAATGAAAGACGCAACACGAAAATTGATGTTATCAAACTGAACGAGTATACACATTAGGTTGCGGTGTCCCAATTAGTGCTCGTTTACGGGTAACTTTAGGCTTTCCTGCAGGGAGTCACGCTGGGCTTTTGGACATTATATATGAATATTCACCTGTAGGGAATTCTATTGTGAACACAATGATACCAAAACGAACGACGTAGCACGAAAATTAAGGTGAGAAAACTGAAACAAGTATACACATTTCAGTGTCGCTGCACGCTTGCCCGCACGCTCGCCCACACACCGAGGGCGTGACCTTAAAGTTGGTGGCGCGCATGCCGGGCGCGCGATAGTGTTAAGTGCATTGTATTTAGATGGTGTGGACATGTTTTGCATGGGTGAAAATTATTTAGCAAGGAAGGTGTACAAGGGTGAAATAAAAAAAGTTGTACAAGTGTGAAATAAAAATATAATGGCAGAGGCAGCTAACCAACTTAAAATGGATAAAACCATGTTCTTCCACTAGACAGCTTGAAAGAGTGAAAAGTTTGTAGTTATCATGCTTCTTGAATATATTTCTGCTGTGGCCAGCCCCAAATGAGGGGCTGGCCTCACAGCTGTGAGGGAGTAAGGTACCAGGGCTTAAATATAGAATATTAAATTTGTAAGAGATACTTTTTTAATTGAAAAAATTTAGTGTGTACTTTTTAACCATAATGAATCTTTCCGATAGGAGCAGGCGCTGCGACAAGTCCCGGTGTAGGAAAATCCCGAGTTCAGAAGAGTAATACTATGACTGCTAGAAATAGTGGCTCAGGAAGGCGCTCAACTTACTCCTATGATGCCAATAAGGCATCATCAACGGAAAAGACAAATATAACTAACGTTCCAGATTCTGCTAGGTATGTATATACTTAGGAAATTATTCAAGTTGTGTGTGTGGTGTGTCCCATTGTTTGAAATATAAAATTAAATTTCACTATGTTGGGCTGTATGCTTCCTTAGCCCTGTTTACAGTTGATAATTATTCGGTAGTGTTTTCAGAGGCAAAATTCTCATTGTACTCAATGTAGGAAGTCTATTAAATGTGATTTTTAAATGGGACCCACTAGAAGATTCTCTTGGCATTGGAATGTTATTGTCCTGGTCTTTAGTGGGGATGTTCAGTTTACACAGCACCATTGTCTGCCCTACTCAAGCTTAAGATTGTAATTTGTTTTGCTATGCAAGGCTGCTGTCAGTTGTGAAATTCTGTATGGTGTGCTGTAGAATATTGACGACAGAGCTTCTGTAAAGCCCATCTCCCTGTTTCATCAGTGATTAGATATGCTTTAAATCCTGATACCATAAAAAATGGTGCATGTATTCTGGCGTCCTGGTTAATGCCAAAATGCTTGCTTCAGTATTCAGTGTAAGGGGGAAGTAATCCATGCAATAATTGTCTTTATTGAAAAAAGTTGGCAGCAAAGTTTGTGAAATCTCCCTGTGAAATATGGAAGAAAATGGATAATTGACAGGACTAAGGTGATCCTGAGAAGACAGTGAATAGAAAGTTTGTATAATATGATTGTTTCAGTGTTTTTGTTTAGAGTATTGCCTAATATCAGTGACTCCTAAATAGAACATTCATTTTTATTTTCTGGGGAGACAGAAATTTTCACAGGTGACAGCATTTCATAAAATTAATTTTGCAAGTAAAATTTTCTGGGGCTTTTTTTTGTTTTGCTTTTTTTTTATATTCAATCCTCACTTTTGACCAGGTTTTGGGCTCACCACTGAATTTTCCTGCAATTTAAGTCAAATAATATAGGCACTTCACATTTTGATCTTCATTTTTTTCCTTGTGTGTATTGATATGCATTTAGATACATTTTTCAATGAATATATATTTAAATGGCATATCATATTACTCACTGCTTCTTTAGATGCCACAATCACTGTACAATATATATTCTTAATTTTTTCCTCTTCAGAATTTGAGCCAATTTCTTGGGTTCTTAATTTTTTTAGAGAAATCCTTACTCTATTAACCCCTTCATGTAGCTGATAATTTGTGTATTATTTTCATGAAAAAGCATTCGTCAATTATTCCTTATGCCTTTAGGGGCTCACAGGGAGAGAGTAACGTGTGTAATGAAGCCATTGTCCACACGGTTCAGGAGTGAGTACAGTTTGTGAACCCCCCTCCCTTAGAATACAGGTTCATCATTTCTAAGTAAACCTCAGTAACTGCCTCTTCGCTTAACATGTATGTGTGCTAATTTTAATGTAACTGTCATACTTCTGAAGACTAGACATGTTTGATGAATCGGTATTCTTTTTTATGGAGGATGCATTTAATGAGGTTAAGCTAAGTATGTTTCCAGTCATCCATTTTGAGTCTGGTTGAACACTTTGCTTGTTCATTTTCCTTCTCTGCTTAATAGGAAAATGGATATAATGGAAATTTGAGGCAAGGCCCAAAAATGTTGACTAGTTACATAAATAGAAACTGGCCAATCAAGGTGGTAGAGGAGGCTTGAGATCTCCTCTCAGTTGTGTTTGTTTGGGAGCTACTAATGTGTTCCCCCTTACAACATTATCAAATTGCTCCAGTACAGTTGTCCAATATGAAGAAAAATTTCTCTAACATCTTTATAGCAAACCTGCATTTATCGGCCCCCCCCTAACCCAACCTGATGTTAAGATAGTGTTATTTGCCACTGCTATACCTTGATGCCCGAAACTTGCTACAGTGTTAACTCAAAGTCAGCGGCACTTGTACTCTTACACGGACTTAGTCTATATGTGGGTTTCTTTAGGGCCATAGGCCCTTATATTTTGTATTTACAATGAAAAGTAATTCCTTATACCTAAATAAAAGCAATGCTCATCATTTAAGTCAGAATAATTCCCTCCATATTTTTTTCATAATTTTGATGTAATAGCTTTTAAGTTACTTTTTGCAACTTGGTTTAGGGGGCCCTAATGGAGAATTACATGAGACGTCCGTGAAGGCGTATTTGTCCCTGTAGGTGCATGATGCCTTACTTGCTCAGCCACTGGTCAAGGAGGGACAAGTACTGCTTAGTACCTCCTTTCATATCCCCTCTGGAGTCATGCTGAAAGTTGTTTTTCTAGAGTACTAGAGAGTGAATATTAACATCAATTTTTGTCTTTGGGGATTTGTGCCTCGCCACTCATAATTATATAAATTTGCATATAAGAATAGACTCGCTACTGTGATGGAGCTTAAAAAATACTGCTCTAGAAATTATTCAAAATGGATTCTGACATGGCAGGAGGCCCAATAGCTCTGCAGTAGATGATGGTGAAGTTTGTTACTGACCAACAACAGAGAGATCTGACCCCTGTGTGTTGTCTGTCTGTCTGTCAGTGTCCACATTCCCGTTAGGCGCTCGTTCTTTCCCGCGAGACTCGCCTGCAAAACACTGAGTGGTTTTATCCGAGGGTGAGTAAGCGCTTGTGTCATCCCAGGATACAGTGTCAAGATGGCACCATTCAGTTTATAACCCATAGGGCTGTGCTTCATTGTTTTAATTTTTATGCATATTTTGCAGTAGTTTCATATTAGAAAATTAATGAAGGTTGACAATAGTAACTGAAATTGAATGGTGCAGTACAAGCTCTTCATATGTTTTACTACAGTGGCTGCCTTTCCTTCCCTGCTGATAACTGATCCCGATTGTTCATTTAGTCAAATCGACTAAAAATTGTATGTTTGTTGAATGGCTATTCTTATATTTGATCTCCCCACTTTTAGGTTTCTGCCTTCATGTAAACCATAGCTCGTGTATTGTCATTCTGTGTCTTAATACTCGTGCACTGATTGTACTATGTACAGCAAAGATTAATAATACTGCCCAAGACATACCTTGCCAACACCTAGCGCCACCCACCCTCTGATAAACAACAAAAATTCAGCTTGTGGTTTGCTCATCTACAGTCTTGATTAAACTAGCATTAATTAAAGAATTTTTGTATAAAAAATATTTGCACGTTGCAAACCAAAGCCTTGAATTTGAAGACAGCACATATATACTATACACAAATGGATTGAAATGTACTACCTTGAGACAGGCTAGCCAATAGTAACGGTCTACGACACTTGGCAGCACACAGGCTGTCATAATTCCTGTGTTGGTACAGCTAAAGTGAGTGCTAAAGTGGCTTGGTGTAGCAGATTGCTACTACTGCTATTGCTATGGCTGCTTGTAGTGCTTCTGCTGCTTGTAACAAACTTCAAATCCCTTCCCATGCACTTATTTGTGTCTGACTTCCTGGGTCTGATCACCCAAGTCTTTGGATTTCCCGTGCATGACTTACTCGGTCACGAGCACCTTCTTCTAGTGGAGCCCTTATTTGTATACTTCAAGTTTTCTCAGGGATATTTTGTACTGCTACCTGCAAGGCTTATTTCTAAGGGACTTCATTGATGTAGCTGAAAAAACAGCTTCTTTGTTTCATGCTTCTTAGCATTGCTATTCTAAGGGAGGTAACAGCCAATGGCTTCTCATATGTTAGAGGCTCAGAAGGGGGTGAGTGACGGCCTGAGTGTTTGTGTCTGTGTGTGTGGCCTGTCATAACTCTGGTTGTCTTGTGACTACAGTGGTGTGGCTGCGGTACCACTCCTCCCTGGGGCCCCTCCCTCCAGTGTGGTGGGGGCCCCGGTGGACAGCCTGTCCCATGGCCACCCCTCGGCAGCCACTAACTCTCGACCTGCAAAAGGTCATTTCAAGTCAGCGTCCATTTCTGCGGGCACGGGTGCTGGTCCAGGTCGAGTGGATCTCTCGCCTCTAGACCACCCCCTAGATCCTTTACGGTCAAGGTAGTATGTCTCTGTGTGGGCGCACACATCTTGTTGCTTTCTGCTTGCTCCCTCACCTTATATCTTCTGCTCCTGCACACTAATTTTCTGTTGTCTGTCTATCCTCCTCCTTGTGAATTTGTGAAATGCATGACTGCTTGTATATAGCAAATATAGCCTAAGCAACACACACATTATACACTTTGGTTGGTTCACACCTACCAAAATAAAGTATTGCTAAAGGGTGGTGTGACAAACCTAACACTTATATTTTTGCATGATCTTGGTAGATATGTTGCCTCCAGACCCAGTGAGGACCACAAATGAATGCTTAGGTAGTGTGCACTGTAACTTATAACTGTTACTAATGTAATGACTAATAGTTACGTGAATAATCTTTCAGATAATTTTGACGCTTTAAAATTGTTATAGAAACTTAACAGTGTGTGATATAAATCACTTCTTACAAATTGTGCTAGTACTGTAATAGATAATATTCTTGCTCTAGCAAGTGTTCAGGCTCTTGCATTAATTTTTTTTAAATAACAAGATGCGAGCCAAAACTGCTCAAAACCATTGGCAGTGCTTATGCATGGCACCTCACTCAGAATGTTACCCTTACTGCCTTCCAGCTCGTCGAACAAAACGCCTGTATCTCCTGTATCAACCAATCGCAATCCCTTCCCCCGAAACCACACCAGTCGATCAACGTTCCACAGTGGACAGAACCGACGAAATAACAACACATATGGAGGAGTAGGTGCCCCGCTCACCACGCAGGATACCAGTGCCCTCTCTTCCACCAGTAGGACCAGTTTCTTCTCTAAATTATCATCTAAATTTTCCAAACGGTAAGCTTTAATAGTGAAGGAAAAATATTTTTTCTCTTGTAAGTTTATATTTAAATGTTTTATTGTCTAGGGTTCACTAAGTATAGCAAAGTAATTCAATAACTGTGTAAATGTTATTAAAGGAAGATAATTATTACATATTCTAAATACTTTGTATTAGAATGTTAATTTTATTATACACTTTTGGATCTAAATTTATTGCAAAAATTAAGGAAACATTTTAATAAGCTAAAGATATTAAATGTAAATTTGACTATCTTTATTGGATTGCTTAATTTGCTCTAGAAGATGGCTGAAATAAACCAACTCACTGCATGCTGCAGATTGTTAGTGCTACAATACATGTATATAGTTGCAGCAGGACACGCCTCTCTGCTTCTACTATAGTCCTATAATCATAAAATAATTACATGCCTTAACATTGATTTTTGTTATAATAAATTTTTTCCTAAATTTTTTTCTGATTAGCATGATTTTGATATGAGATTGGCAACAATTGCAAGATGAGTGTTTTCACTATATGGCTCTAATATTCTCATGCCAATAGGCAATGTAATTATCATTACCCAGCTGGGGCTTCAGTCAGTTATACAGCCTTCACTTTTCTGTTTTAAATTTTTATTTGAGAAGTTTTATTATTGCATTTTTACCATTAGCAGTTGTGCATGTGTGTTTGATTTTTTATTTGTTTTAAATTTCAGCCCCCTGGAAACACCACCTAGGCAAGCAGCTAGGTACGTTGGGTATGTTGTGTAGCTCCTCTGTAGCCTAGTATTCTAATCATACTTTCATAGTGTTTCTAACTATTTACTTACAACTTTCTGAATAGCAGGTCATCTGTATCCTAAAAAGCAACACAATTACTATAGTTTTCTCTTTTATACAAATTATTTCTTTGAACTTGTTTCTTTATTAGGTAATGAATGACATAAGAAAACCAGTTGGGATTTAGCAGTGCTTATTTATTAGGGTCTGTGTGAGTGATATCTTAGAGAAATGATACCTTTATTCTATGTGATGAATCTCTTAATACTGTACTGTACTCTGTATGAATCCTTTGATATTAACTCAACATGTAACTATCGTCAATATTATTTCATTTGTTGTAGGATGGGGGGAGGATAAGGCTTATAACTTGGTATTACAGATAATTATGCAAAAAGTAAGATAAATGCAAAGAAAAATAAACAAATTAAAAGGAAACCTCAATTCAACGAACCTTGATTCGACAAACCTCCAAATAGAACGTACGTGAAAAAATAAAATGCACAAAAGTGCCAAAGAAATATTAGTGTTCTTTTGCAAACAGTTGGAACAAGTGAGGTGATGGTGGAGACCAAAACCGTCGGTAGTTTCAAAGCGTTATACTGTACGACAAAGAGTACTGGGAAGACAGGACACCACACGCATAGCTCTCAACCTGTAATTACACTTTACATCCTGGATTTACTTACCCAATTCCATGAACTCTTATTCACTGAAGTGGTGGATGTGTGGATTTGCTTAGGATGTTGAGACAAGAGTTCTCACACTGGTGGGAAAGTTGGCCATCATGTCATAGGTTATCATTAAAGATTCCCTTAGGGAAATCGGTCCATAGTGTGTGGAAATCATTACGATAAGAATGGTAACTATTAACCCTTAAGTTGCGCAACACATCATATGATGGGTTGAGTGACTTGCTGTAAATTGCGCATCCCATCATATGATGTATTGGAGTACTACGCAAGATTTAAACGGCCCGCGAATACACAGGGTTCACCTCACCTTCATCAGGGCTCCTGTAAACAGACGCCATTTAAAAAAAAAATCGTGGGCGAAATTCCCGGGTGTGAGGGCCTCAGTATTGAGCGAGTCACCAAGCCTGACGCACACAGCATGAACTCACATCACTGCTGTTCAGCTTGTGACCACAGCATCGCCTAAAAATGCCATAATATACATGTTCATGCTATTATTTAGTGATGATATTATTACAGAAGACCCCTGACTGTGATAAAAATGACCAGAATTCTGATAATAGCAGGATTGTTGTGATAATTAGCGTTATAGTGGGAGGAGTAATCTTGGTGGGGAAGGAGGTAGCATTGTCTGCTGACTCTGTGTGACCCCCTTTTACTGTCTGGACTCACTATAGCAGCTTAGTTGTTCGCTATGGTAAACAAAACATGCAGATACTTATATATAACGTCTGTATATAAAAGCAAAAACAGTATGGTGGGAGGAGAATGGTGGCGAGTCAGGTGAGGTGAGGGAGAGAGGGAGTGAGTGGCAGCCAATGGGGGGGCTGCCACTCAGCATACCAACTTAGTGGTTCGTTATGGTGAACATGAATGTAGATACTTATATATAACGTGTATATACAGTGTAATAACAGTAAAAGGAGTGTGGGGGAGAAGCCATTTTGGTGATGGGTGTGGCAACATCTGCATGATTTGTCATGTTGGCAGGGGTGGCCACTATGCTCTTTGGGCATTATACCGGCTTAGTTGAACAGTTATGGTTAACAAAACATGTAGATACTTATATATATAATGTCTGTATATAGGGTAATAACACCACAAACAGTATTGTTGGGGGTGATATTTTAGTGCGTCTGACCTTGAATGTGTGAGAGAAGCAGCTGCCACCTGACTGTGTTTAACGACATCTCTTAGTGCCTGAACTAACTATATCAACTTAGTTATACAGTTGTGGTGAACAAAACATGTAGATACTTATATATAATGTCCGTTTATAGTGAATAAAAGCAAAAACAGTATTGTGGGAGGGGAATGTGGGCATGTCTGGTGAGTTGAGGAAGGAAGGAAGTAACAGCCAGTGGCGGGCTGCCATTGGCTGCCACTGCCATTGCCACTGCCACTCAGCATGCCAACTTAATGGTTCGTTATGGTGAACACAAATGTAGCTACTTACATATAACGTCTGAATATAGTGAATAAAAGCAAAAACAGTATGGTGGGAGGAGAATGTGGGCGAGTGAGGTGTAGAGGGAATGAGTGGCAGCGAGTGGCTGGCTGGTGTGTGGCGGTCACTCCTCGTTGCTTTTTGACTCATAATACCAACTTAGTTGTTAGTTATGGTGAACAAAACATGCAGATACTTGTATATAACCTGTGTATATAGTGTAATAACCGACAAAGTATTTGTTCACTGTTTGATGAACATAATAATTGAATCAACAATATGTACACCATATTTTTGAGTACAGCGATGATTCACTCATTTTATTATATAAATATATCACACTACACACATTGAATAATATTACAGCAAAAAAACTACAAAAAATAAATTCATTGAATTAGATTCAATTAGATTCATTGAAATAATTAGGTAATTATCTCTTTGGCCACTCCTGCCTGACAGCTGGGAGCAACAGACCGTCTGGGACGCACGCTGAGTCAGCGCCTGTTTTTTGCCAGACTTCCCCGCCCTATAGCGAGCAATATATGCCACTTACAATTTTTTTATTATTTTTCCCATGATCAGAGAACACAAATTAACAGGTTCAGAAGATTTTTTTTATTTTTTTGGGTATGTGCCTGTGGGTGACAAATGCCCTAAGCAACACAAGGGTTAATATGGCTCCAGTCACATTTTTAATGATTTTTGTAGATGGATACAACATTAAAAGAAATTGTTAGGGGTCTTGGAAAAGACATCGAGCACATTTAAAATCAAATTATATGGTTTGTTTTCGAGAGATCCCTGTTTTCATTCACAATTATGGGCCTCCTGGAGGCATCTCCACTTGCAACGAATTGGGGTTAGTCCCATATAGTTCGTTGAATCACGGGTGCACTGTATCTTGTGTTGCGAGATATAGCAGGAAGCTGGGTGGCAGGGTCATTGTTTCATTTGATGTCAAATCTGAGAGTTGCTGACAGTGGTGATGAGGGAGACCCTCCTATGCTAGTCTATCAGTGGTTAACTATCAATGACCACAGGGAAGTGAGAGCTAGCTCTTTATGCCCCCATCTTGCCTTTTATACCAAGCATACACATTGTCTCAACTGATTTTTTTATTTGTCCTGTCTCTTTTTAATTTAAATAGGCTTTCTTTATACACTTTTACTCCCTTCAAGATCTTTTATCAAGGTGTCATATCTCTTGTTCTTTGTCCTCTAAGGATGTGAAGGCTGTGCTCTCTGAATCTATCCTCTTAGCTGAGGCCCCTCATTTCTGGTAAAATTCAGATGCAAATCTGTAAACTCCAGCAGCGCGCTGGCAGGGTTCTCCAGCAGCGCGCTGGCAAAACACTACATAGGCTTACAACAAGCTTTAACAGACGGCCAGTACCTCAGTCTCTCAACTCAATCTGGCCCTCCCGGGGTATGTTGGTCCAATAAACAATACTTCGCTCAGTATCTACAAATAACTCGCTATCTCCACCGACTTGGCCACTTGTTCCCGCAGGAACACATCTTGAGTTTAGGACTGCCCTGGGTGAACTAAGATATTCTCCATCAATTCCAAGGACAGTGTGATTAGCAAGACAGAAACTATACCGGGTTCAATTACAATCACAACCTTCCACCGGGGGAACAGAAAATTGTCGTCGTCACGACACCTCCCTTAACAACAGATAGTGTCAATATCTTCACACCCTTTGTTTCCTGTCTGTCAGGTATCCACTAACCCAGTCCAGTGCTTTTCCTGTTATCCCCATTTGTCTCCCCATCTTGTGTATTAGTCTTTTGTGAGGAACTGTCAAAAGCATTTTGGCAGTATAGGAAGATGCATCTTACCAAGACTACATCTTTTTTTTTTTCTTCTTCTTATTTTGGTGACCCTGCCAGAGAGTTCAATCAAGCCATTGTTTTCCCTCTAATCCTCTTATTATAAAATTTATGCCCCCCCCCCCCCAAAAAAAAAAAAAAATCTACAATCGTTTTTCTGATGACTTTTTCTAGAATACACACACAAATCACAATAGCGGGATATATCAAACGAACAAATCCACAGGAGCCGTGATGAAGGTTCGAACCCTCATCACGACCTTTGTGGATTTGTTCTTTTTCTAGAATCTTGCATATGATGCGTGCTAATGACACACACATATAATAATATGCGAGTGCTTCATGTTTGTCCCTTCTTTCGCAGAGGGTAAAATCACATCGTAAACTTCATGTTTTAACATTTGGACAGCGGCTTTGGAGAAATGATCATACCTGCCTATTTCTCCAATCTTCTAATTTTGGCATATTTAACCCTTAGACCACGCAATGCATATATAGCTGATATGAGTAACTTTGCCAATACCACGCAATACATCAATAGCTAATTCAGTGTCTAGTGCTAGATTTTAAACGCCCCGTTTTGGATAGGGGCAGCTATAGTCCAGCCACGATCGATAGTTAAGATGCCACCTAGAAAACTAATCGTGGGCAACATTTCCAGGTGTGAGAGCCTCAGTACTGAACGAGCCACCAAAGCTGGCACACACAGCATGAACTCACAGCATTGCCTAAAAAGTCAAAATATATATGTACATGCTATTATTTAGCGATGATAGTATTACAGAAGACTCTTGACTGTGATAAAACTGACCAGGATTCTGATAATAGCAGGATTGTGGTGATATTTAGCGCTGTGCTCCATGGTGGGAGGAGTAATGCCGAGGGAAGGAGGTGGCATCGTCTTCTGTCTGTAAGTGGGCCACCTTTTATTGACTGGACTTACCATACCAGCTTAGTGGTTTGCTGTGGTGAACACAAATGTAGATACAGTACTTAAATAT